CGTGAAAAACAATCTTCCGCTTCAACAGTACGATTTAATCAATCGATCGCCTGTTTTTTTTTCGTTGAAAAAAAAGTAAGAAGACCACAATTTGAGTTGATTATTTCCAGCGATTAGATTTTTTCTTATCAACGTTAGTAGTATCGGTTTTTGTCTGCCCCGGCAACAACCATCGCTCTTATTTTTAGTTTTCGTCTCTACAATGCTTTTGACCCTTCATCATATAAATTATAATAATTTTCCCTTGAAATCCCCTCGGAGCGCTCTTGCACTTTCTCTGCGTCTCTCAGTGCTCTAATCCACGTGTTATTTCCTTCCCGTTGCCTTGCCAACAAGCTTTTCTTCCTAAAAACTTCAAAAATCTATATTTCAGCCAAAAAATGCCGGTGCGTGCAGATGCAAGCTCCGGAATGGTGCTTCTTACCGGAAACTCACATCCGGAGTTGGCCAAAATGGTGTCGGAACGACTCGAGATTCGTCTTGGAGAGGCCACGGTCTACAATAAGACTAACAGAGGTTAGATTTTGATCATAAAACTTCAAAACTAAAATGTTCTCCCTCAGAAACTTCCGTCGACATCAAGCAGTCTGTCCGTGGCAAACATGTATTCATTCTTCAAAGCGGGTCAAAGTGTGTTTTCTTTATCAAATCACACAAATCAGTCGATTGCTATCTCAGTAGCGCTGATAAATCATTTGTCGACAAATATGGAAAACTTTACTTTTTTTCAGGAACGTCAACAACGACGTCATGGAGCTTCTCGTGCTCATTTATGCTTGCAAGACCTCCATGTCGAAGACTATTACCGTCATCATGCCCTACTTGCCGTACTCCAAACAGTGCAGAATGCTTCGCCGCTCGTCTATCGCGATGAAACTTGTCGCTGAGATGATCTGCAAAGCTGGTAAGGAGTGGTCATGGGTTCTGGTCGACGAAGTGAATTGGGGAGTTCGGAATTATGAAAATCCTTCATGATGGGTGGTATATTTCAAGGTGTCACTTGTGGCAAGGCTAACGAAATTGAAGCCTCAGTTAGACGAGACTCAAGCCATAGGGAGACTTCGTGGACTAATTAGGATGTCCTATAAAAGCCCACATAGGCTACAAAGTTGGCGTAACATACTTGTTGCAAAAGCAACCTAACCAGATTTCCACGACTCAGAGTTTAAAAAAAACAAAGGTCTACTCGCTCCGCGTGGAAGATTTCAAATCAAAACTTGCCGATTAAAACCATCGACGTCTGATGCAGACATGCTTGTTCCACGGAGCTCAGATTAAACTTCTGAGCTTGCAAATGCTCTATCCCTTGCATATACTCGTACTATCTTAAATTCGTCTTATATAGTATCTGTGACTAGGTGTAATACCTAATCTATTCTAGAATTCGCAGAAGATTTTATTGGAGAAGAGTTTGTAGTCTGACTGCCGACGGATCTGCTTCATCTAGTGACATAAGAAATTATTCTTCATCTACCGTAACCCGACGAATTTACCCAGAGATGCTTCGAGATGCGCTCGTAATTTTCGCACTGAATTCTTGAATAGAATGACTTGGTGAAGTTGATGTCTACCATATGGAAGCTGGTTCAACAGGTGGTTTTGATTTCAGTCGATGGATGCTCTTCTTCTAGTTAAAATTGACTCCTTGACTTCTGTTGTCACTGAAGTTCTGCCTTAATATTAAAAGACCATCTTACGATCTCGTAGCTACACTTTTCAAACATTGCTCGTCTATTTTCTTAAACTTCTGCAACCAACATATCCTTCCTATCTTTTCACTAAACTTCCAAGATGTCCTCTGTGAAACATGATTCATCTTAAGTGCAGACTTTTGGTGTGTCACGGATACTCTTTTTTCATTTTGACGTCGTAAAAGCTTTTGCCAGCCAAAAAAAAACTCTTCTCCGCAAAACGCTTGAGCAAATACGACGTCAATGAGCCGTGCTGTGTCTGTTTTGGGTTTGGAGCCAAAACTAGGAAATTTGGGGGACTGAAAACAAAAAAATCTGTAGTACCGGTAATTAGTCTGGCTTCTGTAGATAAAGAAGCAGAAAAAACAATAACAATAATAATGTGTTTTGATTTCAGGTGCCAGCCGCTTGGTGTCGTTGGATTTGTACAAAAAGGAGATTCAGGGATTCTTCTCGTGCCCAGTGGACAATCTCCGTGCCTCGCCATTCTTCCTTCAACACATCAAGACAAATGTAAAGACGTACAGTAATCTTGATTTCATAATCGCAATATAATTCCAGATCCCGGATTACAAGAATGCCATCATCGTCGCCAAGTCTCCAGGAGTCATGAACAAAGCCACGTCCTACGCGGATCGCCTTCGCCTTGGTAAAAACCCCTTCCCAAGTTTTTTTTCTTAGATTAGTTTTATTCAATATCTCCCGTATAGCTCAATCATCTCTTTGCAGGATGTGAGTTATAAAATTAAGAGAGTGAGAGTCTTGACATCCCCTTTCCCATCCCGTCCACACACTGGTTTGGGCGAGTTTACAGACAACAAATCCATTTTTGAGTCGTAACCACACACCCAAACACACACACACACACACACACACACACACACACACACACACACACACACACACACACACACACACACACACACACACACACACACACACACACACACACACACACACACACACACACACACACACACACACACACACACACACATATATATATATATATTGAACGATTTTGAACTATGTTTATCAGTTTCTCTTTTTAATTTCAGTAGCTGACTCTTAATTAATAATACGTGTTGAATGTTGTCTGGGACGACTCACACTCGCACTTTTCTCTCTTCTAATTTAATTTTTTCTACTTCTTTTCCGTCTTCTGAAACCCAACAACTTCTATTGCGCTCTCTTTATTCGCTAGTTCCCCTTTCCTGTCTTGTCTCGTTTGTCCATACATATTCACACTGAAAAAGAGCATAAGCATACCATTTATGTCTGTTGGGCGGCTTTTTCTGTTGAAACTGATTCGGGTGATTCAGGTGTGGCTGTGATTCACGGAGAGCAAAAGGACGAGGAGGAGTCAGGTCTTGAGGATGGACGACAATCGCCACCACCGAATGTCACTTCGTACGATTTCTTGCCAGCTCAGGAGTCGAAGCAGAAGCCACCACTCACGGTGGTCGGTGATGTTGGAGGACGTATTGCTATCATGGTGGTGAGTATTTCAGTTTAGAACGAAATTTCGAAGAATTGTGCAGCCACGGTGGGTAGATTGCCGTGGACTCATCAGTCCGTTCTTTTGAACATACGCTCAGCAACCCAGAAAGCACTAGGGAAAGCACTAGAAAGTACGAGGTCAGAAAGCACTAGGTCGACGTACCCTGCCCATGAGTATCATCTGCCGTAACCCATGGATACAATAATCAAAACCTATGAATACAATAATCATGCGGCCGTCAGCCTTGCTTCTAAGAACCCTAGGTGCTTTTAAAAAAATTGACCCCTAGATTGCGAACGCAACTTACACTTGCAATCCAAAGATTTCCATGATCCTTGGAGAAGAATGTACCCAATTTTTGTTAAGACTCTCCAAAAAACATTTGAATGGATGGATGTCTCTAAATAAGATCTGAATCTCTGAATGGGCCTCTGAATAGCCTTTTAACGTTTTCCGGAAGTACCTTAGAGCATTATAATGGTGAGGACATTTATAAAATCCTATCGAAATCTTAAAAATATATACTGGCTGTCTGTATTAGAAAAGCACCCGTATTTTGGGAATTTGAAATAGTTTCATGAGTTTCCTTGGAGCGTCGTTATTTCCTTTATTGGAAGCTCACCCAAACAATCAACTTTGAGCTCAAATATTTTGGTTCCTATGAAAGATATCAAACATTTGTCAATTGATAAAATATTGGTGGATTTAGGATGAATAATTCATTTGTTGACAAGTTGTTGATATCTTTTTTAAGAACAAAGATAATTGAGCTCAAAATTGAGTTTGGGTGGGCTTTTATTAGTAAATGCCTGCCTCTCTGACAAAAAGTTCATTACGAGTTCAAAATGGCTATGCCTTCAGATTCTTGCCGATCTTATTAATCAATTTTTTCAGGATGACATTATTGATGACGCCCAATCCTTCGTTGCTGCCGCTGAAGTGCTCAAGGCTCGCGGAGCCTACAAAATCTATGTGATTGCAACCCACGGAGTTCTCTCATCCATGCCCCCGCTCTTCTCGAAGCCTCCCCGATCACAGAGGTGAGTCTTTTATTTTGGATTTTTGATATATGGTTTGGGGTCCGCCGAGCAGTTGTTCCTAGTTTCTCCCCCGAAACGATTCGGAAACGAAAGCCAACATTGTTCCAGGTCATCGTGACCAACACCGTGCCACACGACCTCCAAAAGATGAGATGCCACAAGATCAAGACCGTCGATGTCTCGCTGATGATCTGCGAAGCCATCCGTCGCATCTTCCACAATGAGTCGATGGGACAACTCTTCCGTGACGTCACCCTTGATGACTAATATCTGTTTTTGATTGTATTTAAAGGCCCCAATCTCTCTCTCTCTCTCTCACTCAGCTTCACTTTGTCTATTCCAAACATATACTTTTTTGAGCCGATGCGTTCAGTAGAAGTAGTATTATTGATCCAAAAATCAAATCATCCCGCCCCACCAACATTTCTTGTGCCAAAAAAAGTATTTTTTGTGCATACAAAAAACTTGAATGAATTAAAACTGGAAAAGAAGAGTACTGATGGAGAAAAACCATTTATTCAGGACTCATTAGATCAGGAGAAATCTGGCGATTTGGTTCAATCCGGAAACGGCGATTCGGAGAGGGAGAAGGAACAGATGAGCCAGCCTGGAATTGAAAACTTTTGAATTTTTTAGATTCTCAGATAAGACTGACAGTGAAAAAATATTTCTGCACACTTTGGGTAATTCACGGCGAGTCTGACTTGAAATGGCCCAAGTCGGGTCATTTTCCGGTTCGGGAAAACTGTATATGTGTTCATACATGTTGAGTGTTCTGGAACAAAAGACTCATGAGCAGATATTTAAGAAAAGCTCACTTCCGGTATCATTGGATGGATTGGTACTGTATTTTAGACAAAATTCTTGAATTGCTCTGACAATGTAGTCACGCTCTCCATTTTGGTCTGAAAACTTCGATTTATCACACAATAACTGTGTTTTCAAGACAAACATCGAATCCGATCATTGTTAAACATTTGGAGATGTTGAATCCACCACGCGATCTATTCTGACACGCCTGTTAGTTGATAACAGGGCTCGACGAGAACTTCAATGTGTTAAAAAAACAACTACAGAACATTTATCAAACAATTTGGTATAAAAAACAATAGGATTAGCAAGAAGAAAATTTGCAATAAATTGCATCATTAAACCAACTATTTAAACGAACCGCCGCGTTATATAACGGTTGGATCACATTGGTCGTATACCGGAAAACATTTAAGGTTTTAAAAAGTTTAAAATTGAAACACTAACCCGAAATTTGATTGTGCGAGGCACTCCTTGAAGATGTAATCCGACTCTTGTGTTGTTAATAATGAAGACCTGTTTTGAATGAGATCATACTGTTGATCGTGAGCTTTACAGCAACTGTTTATATCTGAAACATGATTTCTTTGAACATGAAGCCAGAAAAAAAATAACTTACAATCCCTATCCGTAGCTGGCAAGCTCAGGATATAAGCGACGGCCGTCGAGAAGCGGCCACTACCACACTGCCACTCGGCCGCAATGGCACAGTGGGTCAATAGCAGCAGTACACAGATTTTCATCCTAAAAATCCAATTCGATGAAGTCTAGTTATAACGAAAAAGTATGAAAAAAATTAATAAGAAGAAGATGTTCGGGAAGAGCAACAATATTTTATCAGGCGGTGAAAAAAAATAGGACGGGCTAATTTTAAAACCATCCCTTCTTGACATGCACCCATTAATCACACAGCGGAAGATCCTCGAAAATGAAACATAGATAAGGAAAAACGGCGAGAGTTCAGATTCTCTTCGTAAAGTAGTTCTTTTTCCTCATCTTCCAGGTGTAAAAATGTATGAGTGTGTCATTGAATTGCCACCACCAACCCCCACCCCGCCAATTCATAAAACACATCGTAAAAGTTACTGGAAGAGGGATTTTTTGTATTTTGCAGAACAAAAAAAACTGAATTGGGGGGAATACAAAGTTTGAAAATGATTTGGAAATTAAAACAAAAAATTGTGATGGTTGAAAAAAAAACTGAGACAAAACTTGGGACTTTTTTGTGATTTAATGTCACATGTGTGTCAG